ATATAAGGATTAACTGATATCCCCGAAGAAGAGAAACCAAATATAGAGCTAAAAAAGAATGTTTAATGCAGAAAAAGCAAAACTAAAACTGCTGGTTGAAAGACATTATATTCCAGAAAAGCTTTATTCAGAATGGTTAATACTAAAGCATGTTTTAGTTAAGTTACTGAACTGGAAAAAATAAAGGATGAAGAGTGACTGCTTTAAACACACAAGCAGGAAAAAAAAAAGTCACCCACAAGGGGGAAAATTCAGGCTGGCCTCAGACTTCTTCCCAGAAAAAAAGAAACAAAACCTACCACATTCTATGGGGAAAAAAGGTGAGACCTAAGAATATTTTATCCAGCCAGGATATGGTTCCAGTGTAAAAGCAACAGACCGACATGCTTAAACATCCAAAACCCTTCTTGAAAGATCAACTTAACAATGAAATTCAGTCCATTAAGAGATGACTTGAAATAAAGACCTCATAAATGGAGAATCTTTGATATTAGTTAAAGGACCAGTCATGAACACTGAATTTATTTAAATCTAGAATGTAAACTAAGTAACTAGAACAGAATATGATTATCATAAACTTGGACAACGTAACAATAATATGTAACAAAAGTCAGGATGCAGGGTCAAGAGCTGTGGAAAGATGGAAAGAATCATGAGAGCTAATATACACACACACATACAGAAACGTGCAATTGAAATGCATAATAAAAAAAAACTGACTCCAGCCTCTTAATGTTTTTCACAGCTTTTACTTTAACCTCAGAGGTATCTTTTAGGAAGTAATCTCTCTTGTGGTGAAGAAGCATTATTTGAAGCTCAACTTTTCCTTTAGTTTCACTTCTTTAAACTTGTTTTAAATTTGAGTAAAATTAAATTATTAAAATGGCATCTCTATTATTGTCCAATTCTTACAAAATATCTCTATGATATTTTCTCCTGTCTGTAACTAGGCATAGTGGGTTTTCTGGAATGATGTAATATTAAGGTCATTTCTGTGGTTGATTCTGAAAGGTGTATATAGCTGATTATTTTCTTGTCATTTTTTAAAGTTTTAATTTCTCAATAAATAAATTAAAAATTAAAGAATTAGAAAAAAAAATTTCAGGCATCTTACTCAACACATTCATAAACAGGTTTAGCAGAGATTGCTACCATCTCCCAAAGTCTACTCTCCTAACATTTTACAGAATTTTTAGCTTGTCACATGATGGCCAAAATAAAGACCCCATTTCCCAGCAGTGGCCAATAGGATATAAACAGACGAGCCATTTGGCAGTTTCTGGAACCATCTGGGAGTGTTTGTTCATTTTCCTTTATTACCTTCATTCCCTCCTGCTGTCTGGAATGCTGACTTCACCACGTGGGACCATGAGGTCCAGGTTTTTCAAAGCAAAGCAACATAGGAGGTGTGGACAAAATGTCATATCACCGAGACTGCCTATCTGGATAATGTGAGAAAGAAATGTCTAGCTTATTAAAACAAGTAAACCTTATCCTAACTGAGCCACAGACATACACACACACATAGAAATTTAGTCTTTGATACTATTTGCATTGTACATCAAGTGATGATGAAACAGTAGGTTTGACACACACATAAACAAATCACTGGGGATCTAAATGTGAAAAAATTAATGTTTTATTAGAAGATACAAAGAGAATATCTTTATGCATTTTAGATAGGGAAGGACTTTTTTTTTAAAGGGGGCTTCCCTTGTGGCTCAGCTGGTAAAGAATCTGCCTTAAAGGAGATTTTATGGTGAAAACCATAAAGGAAATAACAGGTAAATTTTACAACATCAACATTTTAAATTTCTGTGTGACAAAAAATTATAAACAAAAGTAAAAGACAAGCAACAATGAGGACTGTCAAGTTCAACTTCAGTGTGTATGTAGGGTAGGGGCATAGAGATGGTCAATTAAGTTTGAGGAGGGCTGCATATTCCCGTTACCACTCCGACAGTGACAGTGCATATTACCTTATCAAAAGCTCTGAGGACTTGTACAGAAACATTTTCCTGTGTGGAACTAAGCCTTCCATACATACAGTTGTTAAACTATGGGACCACTGTGTGTCTATGTGTGTGTAACAGCTGTGAAGTTCTCCAGGGTTTCTAAGAAACACTAGGAAATGCTGCCCTGTGGCTCAGCTGGTAAACAATTTGCCTGAAATGCAGGACACCTGGGTTTGATCCCTGGGTTGGGAAGATCCCCTGGAGAAGGGAACAGCAACCCACTCCTGTATTCTGACCTGGAGAAGTCCAGGGACTGTATAGTCCAGGGGGTCGCAAAGAGTTGGACACGGCTAAGTGACTTTCACTATCACTATCAGGAAATGCTGCCTTGAGAAATAACATTTCACCTTGTGTGAGAAATGACTGCTGTATTCAGCTTTGCGTCTTCACAGATAACTCTCCCTCCTTCAGTAGTTCTGACCAGCAGCAACATTGAAGGAGGATGGGGCAAAGAAGGAGGAGGAGGAGAATGCGATGGAGGGAGCAAAGAAGAGGAGGAGGGGAGGGGAGGAGAAGGAGCAGAGAATGAAGAAGAAGAGGGGAGGGAAGGAGAAGAAGAGGAACAAAAAGGAGATGGAGAAGAGGAAGAAAGAAAAACAAATTTGAGGTTTGGGGAGTAGATGTAAATTTTCCTAGTAGAGCTGAGCAAACATATCCCAAGAGAAGGAAGTCAGCTGTAATTTGGGCTCTTCCTTCTTACAGCGAGCAGCGATGGCTGTTAGAAGTAGATCATTTTGAAATATGCCCCACTGGGGGGTGGAGGGGAAGAACCATTTTAGAAATAATTTAGGGCAGGTCTCAGAGAGTTGTGATGCAGAAAATGGTAGTTGGGACAGATTCCTTGCCAGTTACAGTGGAGAAAAAGGAAATAACAGATCTGGTCTAGGATGATCAACTCAACACTGAGTGACCGCACCCCCCCCCCCCCC